GTGGAGCCTTGGCATTTAAAATGTTAACTTTATCTAAATTAAGGACTGTAAGATGTTTGCGAAAAAAACTTTCAGCTGTCTGGCCTGTTTATACTCATTAGTAAACCATGGTTTACGAATATGTGGAACTGCAGAGGACTTCGGTAAAGTTTGGTCAGCAATGTTGTTAAGTATATCTGAAAATAACTGTATGGGATCTTCGCTGTCAGTGTCATGTTTTAAGTGATTAGTACATAGTGAGTTATATAATGACTAGTCAGCCCTGGCGAAGTTCTTTCTTGATGAAGGTGGATCATCTCCAGGGCTGATTATTTTGAGAATGGTGGGGGAGTGATCACTTCCAAATCGGTCATCATGGACTATCCATTCAAATTCAATATATAAGTTAGAATCAGTGAATGTTAGATCCAGGGAAGAATATGTTCCCGTAGCTGGATGTAGATACGTGGCTGAATCATCATTGAAAATGCATAAATCATTATCGGAAATGAATTGGTGAAGGATTTTACCTTTAGCATTAGTGGGGGTACTTCCCTAAAGCGGGTTATGGCAGTTAGGATCTCCCATTATGACACAGAGCTTTGGAAGCTGGTCATAAAGTGCCTGGACATCAGACTGTTGAAGAGAACACGACGGTGGGATGCACAAATACATAAAGTAAATGTTCAATGTCATAAGTACCACAACAGCCTGAAGAGGGGTATTTAGAGAAACAGGGCTGTGAATAACGCCCCGTCTGACCATAGCAGTAGATCCGTCAGTAGATTTTTTTCCTGGAGGAGAAAAGCAATGTTATGAATCATATTGTCTTAATTCAAATTTATCTGTTGTTTTAAGAAATGTCTCTTCCTGTTGGTTTGGAATCTTGGACTAAAAGTTGAAGATAGCCACTCGTGGGGCCTCAGCTGGAGTTTGTGAAGGATGGGAATGTCTGCAGCGACAGAGTGACCTCCATACCCAGAGGTTCAAAGGTATTAGGAACCTCCAGAACGGTTGTCGAGGGTAAAAAGACCTCAACATGTTTGAGGGACCGTGCTTCTTTTTCCCGATGGTTTCTTTCTTTTGATGTTTAGATTTCTACTTGATTTCTGTTCGGGCACACAGTCAGGTTCACTGGTAAATCCAGAAACACTTTCCCTTACAGGTTCAGTTTGTGACGCTGAAGAAACTGAATATAATGTTGTCTGATTGGTTGGCACCCAGCTAATATCTGTTTGACAACCAGTATCACGTTTAAGAGGGGAAGAAGAGATCGCAGCAGAAGCGATTGCAGCAGAATAGGTTTGTGGTTTGTGGACGTTTTGACTGATGTAGTTTCCACCCATTTGTTTGCATCTGAAAAAGAAATATCATTTGTATGTTTTATTTTCAAAATTTGAGTCTGAGTAACAAAAGATGGACATGGTTTCGAAGATGGCAGGTGACTGCCGCCACAGTTAGCACATTTAATGGTAGCTGTGCAGTTAGTGCTTTCATGTTGATTACTGCAGCGGGAGCAATCTTGCGCGTTACGGCACGACTTTGCTCCATGTCCAAATCTGTCACAGTGAAAACAACGTAACGGATTTGGTATATACACATCGACGCCAATGTTGAAATATCCAGCTTTGATGGATGAGGGGAGCTTTGAGAGCGCAAAAGTAAACCGGTACGTATTAGTGTTGATGATTTTATGACCATCTTTTCTGATAAAACGTTTGACTGACAATACACCTTGGGTTTTCATTTCCATTGCAATTTCCTCTTCAGACATGTCTGAGAGGCACTTTGAGCGATCTCGGACAATTCCTCTTCACGAATTTAGAGTTTTATGCACTGAGACAACATTCTCAGCATTAGCCAAACCATGTGATTTTAGTAGATTTTGAGACTGTTGTCTCCTTGCACATTCCACCAGCAGGGAACCAGAGTGGAGACGAGTGACGTATTTTACTGTACCACAGATTACTTTGATCGATTTGGAAAGACAAAGGGGTTAATCTTGAGGGGTCTACCATCAAGTCTCTCAACAACCAGAAACTGTGACCAAGAATCAATATATCGAAAGACATTGCAACATCTGGATCAATGTGTCTTTTTTCCGTTTTTGAACGAGAACCAGTCAAGTGTGTGATAGTCATAATGAAAGAAAGTTATTCGACATCCCTGCTCCATCATCAGTGTCATTATTATAGTTGAAGCCGCCTACAAGCACCAGGGCTACAGGGATGTTATACTCAAGCAAAAATGACTCAGATAGCTATTTCTGCCAAACAAAATTAAGGTCAGGTTGGTTCAGCCTGTGACAAATACCTGAAGGCAGATAGAATCTGGAGGTCAGTAATGCCAGATTGGCCCATGAGCCGACGCCTTCTGGCATAGGACTCTAGGCAATACAATATCACAAATAGTTTGAATTTAGAAAAAGCCAAGACCAAAATAATATATCAAATATGTGCAATATTATTCACTATGCACAGAGCCTTGCGTGACCAGCCAATTGATAGAACAGGGCCCATTCTACACCCCGTTTTGGTGAAGTATGGGTCAAAGTGGTGTGTTGGGCAAAGGAACACTATTTATGGAACCAGTGCCCTCAACCACCAGACCTCCGTCCTCCACTGACACAGGGGCTCAACCAACGGCAAACAGGTTGCCCAATTCGGTCTTACGACCAGCAATGGGATGCTGTGGACCAAATATACCCCCCGTGTCTACACGGGGGGTTGTAGAGTGCTTAGCGTTACCCAGCACCCACCATGAGGAGGTGGCTCTTCATGGGTGCCTAAAGGTGATTGGAGTGCAGCAAGACCTAGGACCTAGCATTTGTACTGTTGAAACTTTTGAGGATATGTCTATTAATCACTGTAGTATTTTCTGAAAAGGAGTATTTTAAGGCACATTTGAAGGAATCAAGGGATGTTGTTAATCTGAGTTGGAGTGGGAGCTGGGTCCATAGTGTTGGAGCTCCATAACTAAAAGAGCGGAAACCAAAGGCTTTTAGTTTACGTCTTGGGATGACAAATAGATGTTGATCAGCTGATCGTAAGGCTCTTGATGAAACATGTTTGGTCACCAACTCAGTGAGGTAGTCAGGAGCAGTTTCATGATAGCACTGGTGGGCTAGACTCAGCATTTTGTACTCCACTCTGGCTCTTATGGGCAACCAGTGTAAGGCTTGTAAAACGGGAGATATGTTCTCTCTTGGCCACTTTTTTGACAATGCGAGCTGCTGAGTTTTGTATTCCTTGTTGTTTTTGAAATGAGTGTTTCTGGTAATCCGTAGTAGGCACTGTTGCAATAGTCCAACTAGAGCACTAGGGATCTAAAAAGTGCATGAGCAGCTGGCATTGTTAAGGAACGTCTGATATTGCTGACATTTCTTAGCTGGAAATAGCAAGATTTGCAGATGTTGTCAATGTGTGTCTTTAAAGTAAGTTCCGAATCCAGGTGAAGTCGAAGGTCTTTAAGACCTTTGCAGAATGGTATGATGGAGTTGCATATTGGATTGGATTGCAGTTTCTGTGACTCGAGATTGACGTTGTGAGGTACCAAGAAGCAATGCTTCAATTTTGCTTTCATTCAATTTCAGCGTGTGTGAATTTACCCAGTTCTATATATCCATGGAACACTAGAGGCATCCAGCTTGCTAATTCAAACAGCTGGGTGTCATCGGCATACATATGATGACTAACTGTGTGCCTCCGAATGACATCTCCAAGACTTCTCGTATGGAGAGCAAACAATACCTGTCCGAGGACCGATCCTTGAGGAGCTCCACACCATAAATGTGTTTTGTCCGATGATTTGTCTTTGACGATTACCGATTGCTGGCGTTCAGACAAATACGACAAATACCACTTCTCCAAAAAACTCCAGTTGCTGAATTAGTACAGAATGGTCTATAATATCGAACGCCGGAGTCCAGGAACGGCAATATTCCCATTGTTCACTGTACGCAGCAATCATTAACAACAGAAACCAATGCTGTCTCGGTACTGTGGTTTGGCCGATAAGCAGACTGAAACTTTTTCATATACTTGCAAACAAAAACGTATTTTATCAAATTTGTGTGTGAGTAATACATTTGCAGGCGAGGCATTACATGTGTCAGTCTAATATTTCGGGTTGGACAACGTGATCATGCAGGCATTATCTCCAACAAAGGTTCCAAGTCAACTCAGAAATCGGTTTTATTGGATTGTCAAACGTTTAATCGTCAATAAAAGAAACGACAAGTCTGAAGAAACATCTCAAGTTCTGGTCACATCGACAGGAAATATCCCAAATGTAAGCAGAAAGAGGAATAGAGTGGCTTAAGACAAAACGTATAGCTCAGTTTTCTAACGAGAGTGCATGATTTAAACTGTATTTTCATGACACGAGGTGATCAAATGTTTCATATGCTCCACACTTGTTGACTGCAGCACGTGCATCATGATTTGTTGTGTCTTAGACACGTAATATGTTTTTGTTTTCATTTATTTTCATAATATTGTTACATAGCATTTTAAAAATGTTGGGAGAAAAACGTATTAGGTGTTTTTTCCCAAGTGCATATATTTAAACACACATATTTTCAAACACATTTATTAAAACAGATCACAATGTCCATTGTATACTATTCAAAGACATAAACTGTTAAAATCTTTTGAACATATTGTCAAAAATAGAACACTGATTGATATTAATCTTATCTTACATGGCAATGCAGGTCTCTCAATCACTGAAAACCAGAATGTTTTCAAAAATGTACATATCTCTATCTCTCAAACAAAACGCTTTCTCAGTTAACATCTGTTGTACATATCCTAGCCTATGTCTGTCACTTGTGTACTTTGTTGTAAGATGCAGTAAGTTGGATAACTTGTACCCAATCGTTTTCTTGAATGAATAAAATATGCTTAAAACAACAGATCACTATTGTGAATAGGCAATTTGTACTTTATGCAGCATTTTTAACATAGTAAATCATATTCTTCATTTTGACTTAAAACCTTCTGCTTTGAATACCAACACATTTTCAGGCCACGTCAAGTATTGTTTCTTATGATCATGGAAAAGGTTTCGTTTGAATCGATAATCTATACTCTATATTTCATCAGCAATACCAAAGAATGACATACTCCTGTATACTTTAAAATCAACCACCACCACTTTTACTGCAGTGCTGTTTAAAGTGACAAAGTGAGTTGCCCCCAACAACAACAACGTTGCATTTTCACGTGATGTTACCGTATATTTTACAGCAAGGTTTAACAGTGCTGGCCAATAAAACACACAGAGACAGGCAGACAGATAGATATTCCTTATTCCGTCCATTTGAATGACGATAACTTACACAGAGATAATAAGGTTACATTCAGTGGTGGTATATTTTAACATTTCGGTAAACATTCAAGTCATTCTGACATAAACATCGATGTTGGTCGAAGAAGACCAAACACAAAAACAACCACGGATATGCCGAGACTTACGCAAGTGCAACAAGACGCGATCGGTACGGGCAGATTTCAGCATAACAAGCCGCAAGAATTGCATCCCTTGCCCCCAGACAGGCACACATCACTCCATTACTCAAATCTCTTCATTGGCTTCCTGTTCACTTCCGTATCAAGTTCAAGCTTCTGTCCCTGACCTACCAATGTATCTCTGGATCAGCTCCAGTCTATCTCTGCAACCTTCTTCAGACATACCAGTCTGCTCGAACTCTCAGATCCCAGACCAAGTCTCTCCTTGGTGTCCCAAATACAAACACTGTCTGCTACGGTCACAGATCATTTGCATATGCCGCAGCAACTGAGTGGAATAATCTGCCCCAAGAACTCAAAGACTCCCAAACGTTGTCATCCTTTAAATCCTTACTAAAAACTTTCCTCTACCGCCAAGCTTTTCCTGACTCTTAATAACAAACCATGTTTGTGCGCTTTGAGAATCCTTATGTTTGGAAAAAGCGCTATATAAATGCACTATTATTATTATTATGATTAAAATGGGGCCTTTTCAACATCAGCTGCCAAGAACCTTCAATTTATTCAGGTCATCATCAGCGAATAGATGAACAGCTACCAGCAAACAGGCCAGACCCAAGAACGCCCAATATCGGGAAGACCGACAGGGGAGTCACGAGACCCCGCCGAAGACCGCTACAACCGACAGATCCCCTTCGGAAAAGATTCGTGATGGCGACACCTGTACTGTACGTCGATGCATGTAGCACCCCATAATCAGTGGTAAGCAGAAGATCGTCTCGTTTCAATTTCGATTTGCACTTAAAATCCTTACGCTGCAACCCGTCATCTTCTGGAACTTGTTTTAATAACAAATGGGGCGGTGGGGTAGCCTAGTGGTTAAACGTTGGCTCGTCACGCCGAAGACCCGGGTTCGATTCCCCACATGGGCACAATGTGTTAAGCCCATTTCTGGTGTCCACCGCCGTGATATTGCTGGAATATTGCTAAAAGCGGCGTAAAACCAAACTCAGTCAGTCAGTGAGTTTAATGACAAATGTCTGCGCGTTTCGTGGACACAAATAGTCTACATTTTGAATTGACAAATTGTTCTTTGGTAATTTCGGGAACATGGAGGGCGAAATTAACCTAAGAGTTTTGGTGTTTAGTAGAATGAAGGTGTTTTCTTCACCATGATTCTAACCTGAGGTAACTAATCTCTTCATGCATTTGGGTTTCTTGAGGATTTCATAGTTCCCTTTGCAAGCCATTAGATATGGTGATGATAATTAGTGAAACAAAACATTATAACAAAGCTAAATACATCATACGTTTGACCACAATAGACCTTATAGTACAAAAAGAAATATTTTTCAGGTTTTCTGACATAAAATTGCACGTGCTGATTAATTTAGTCGCCAAATGGCAACCCATTGTAACTTGATATATCAGAGGAATATACACATTTAAAGCTTTCGGTATCTCAGCAAAGACAGACCTGAGTGGACGTTCTTGCAATCATATCCTAGTGGCATGAGATTTTGTGAAGATCTGTTCCACAGACAGATGGAAACAGCGATCTTACACAGGGCACGAATCCCAAACATCACTGTATGCGTTCTTAGAAACAATCGAAATGGATATCATGGAAGGACATGATATTTATTGTGATATAATTTATTTAAACAATTTGTCAAGGCATACTCATATCACATTGGGAGGATATGAACTGACATATTTTGAGAACCTCCGGGTATAGAGCTATAATCAAGTACATTTGTAATCGTAGGATGATCGACAACATTGAATCTATCTATATACTGTTTCATGCCAACATCCTAGTATATTTCAAGAGTCCGTCTAAAGCTTTTTTAACTACCTATGGAGGCAACTCAATATTTAACAGAAACAACCAACAAAGAACAGCCCTTTCACTCTGAGCGTCGTTTGAGGAATGACTTTTTTCTTGCCGAGTTTCAAAGTCACGATGCCTTCACGCAACACAGCAAATACTGTTCCGCCGTGATAATAGAGGCTGCGGCCCAATGTAGCTGTCAGTGTTGTAACATTTGTGATCTGGTTCGGAGAAGAAATGACAATGAGCGAAGTGCCATCGTGAACGTACAACCGTTTTTTGTCGTAGTCAAACGTCATCCCGCCAAAGCATGTCTTAGTCTTGTACAAATATGTAATGTTGGTGCCATCGTATGCCATCATGATGACACTTCTGGCCCGACAAATCCACAAAAATAATCTCTCACCTTTAGAGTCAACTGTCATGTAATATGAATATACACTCACACGGTAAATGTATTTGAAGGCTCTTCCTCCGGTTTTCATGACTCCGACACCCTTCCTTGGTGAGCTTGTGGACAGAAACACCAACTGTCGCTCTTCGTCCACTGCTATACTCTTTACACTTGCCTTCTGCTTCAACGTAGTTTTGCTGTACTTGTCAAGGTCATAAGATAAAATACGGAGTGTAGATAAAGCTATCAGGATTCTGTTCAACTTGGGAACGAATGCGGCTGCATAAATCGTGCATTTACTGATGTAGGGGTATGGTTTCATGGTGTAGTTCTGCAGGTAGACTTGTTGTAAAGGTACTTTGTTATTCTTAGTCACAACTAGGAGTCTCATCGCAGGTCTCTGTTCCTGATCTGAAAGTTGAAGCGCAGTGATTGCTAAAATATGACACATTGAATACTGCAACACAAAGCTGAACATTCAAAGAGCTAGTATCAGTGAGTGAGTTTAATTTTATACCGCTTTTAGCTACATTCCAGCAATATCACGGCGGGGGACATCAGACATGGGCTTCACACATTGTACCCATGTGCGGAATCAAACGGGGGCTATGGCGTGACGATTGAAAGGGTTAACCACTAGGCTACCCCACTGCCCAGATAGCATGACAAAAGAAGACAGAGGTAAGGATAAAAGGGTATAAAATTTATTGTAACGAAGAAACTGAATCATCTTGATTTAAGGGCTGGCAAGGAAATGGTTAGTTTGATGTCAAGACAGAGCGAGCCCCCTTAGGTTGCAGCCGAACAGGGGGACGAAAAAGCAGTATTTATCTTTTAAATATTATTTGAGCTGAACTGATTTGACAATTTCAACTCCCAGACTCAGACACTACACTGCACAAAAAGTAAGCAATTTGTCATGGCCACAATAAAATAGCCCTCGTTAATCGTTAAATACGCCAACAAGTTTCATACCATTCGTTGCTTTACTGCTTTCATAGTTTCACAAAATCTTTGGGTCGCATTATTTATCAAGTTTGTAAAGGTGTGTAAGTGTGTAGGGGATGGGTTCTGGCTTGACATTAATATAATAATAAATGTGCTGGATGCAGCTGTCATTGATACTAAACATGTGGTAATATTAACACTACATGTAAGTGGAGTGTAGGTGCACATAACGATTGAAACTCGGGATCACTGAGACATGGAACATCTTATCTTTTTGTTGGAACTAAGACACAAAGGCCATGTGTTGTGGTTGTGTAAACAAAACATGCCGTTTGCATTGATGAAGGCAACAAATGAGTGACAAGAGTATGACAAAATTATCAAGACAAAAGTGGTCACCTAGTGAGTCTTGAGACGTCACGCTCCATATACAAATATTGTCAACAGCAGTAGCATCTGATGTGATCCTGGACCATGGTAGCCCATGTTGTTGGTTTTGTTTTTTCCATGAATGTATGGCTTTGTTCTCTCATACATGATAATCTTTTCAGATATATATCTTCACATGTACTAAACTTCATTATTAACATTCCCAGAAAGAAAACGATATATTACCTTTTCTGCCAATGCACACAAGGCTCTGTGTTCTTTTGTGCAACAGTTGGGAAAAGTTCGGACATGTTCCATTGAAGAATGCTCCAACAGCTTTTGTTTCCTACAAGCAAAGCATAGGCAACAAGAAGACAAGGTCATCAATATCCCCTGCAATGGGCAGCAGATCTATCTATGTGCGATGTTTGGTGAAGAAACATTGAACGGTTTTAGAGTTCTGCTCCGGAAAAGAGTACTACCACCAATTTCAGTCTATGTCAAACTTAATGCCATGGAAACGCAAAAAAATATTATATTCAGAAATCCAAAACAACCAAAAGGCACCGGTTCACTACCAGATCTATCTATGTGCCATGTTTGGTGGAGAAACATTGAACGGTTTTAGAGTTCTGCTCCGGAAAAGAGTACTACCACCAATTTCAGTCTATGTCATACTTGTTGCCATTGAAACGCAAAAAATACTATATTCAGAAATCCAAAACTACCAAAAGGCACCGGTTCACCACCAGATCTATCTATGTGCGATGTTTGGTGAAGAAACATTGAACGGTTTTAGAGTTCTGTTCCGGAAAAGAGTACTACCTCCAATTTCAGTCTATGTCAAACTTGTTGCCATGGAAACGCAAAAAATATTATATTCAGAAATCCAAAACTACCAAAAGGCACCTGTAGACCACCAGATCTATCTTTGTGCCAAGCTTGGTGAAGAAATATTGAACGGTTTTAGAGTTCTGCTCCGGAAAGGCAAATGTGCACGGACGCACACACACAAAACGCGTTGCGGGGGATAACAATGCAGTTCCCGTCCAAAACTGTTTCACTCACTCACTCCCTTACAAGTATACAATTAAGGGGAAGACAAAATTACCTACATGAAGTATCGTATTAACATTGTATCAACATTGTATCAGCATGTTCTTAAAATATATTTATGAAGTATACCTGCAAGATGGATTCTGTAATCAGTTTACCTTGTTGACAAAATATTGTCTTTCATCTCTATGGCGAAGATTTGGACCATAGTTTACCCGACAGGAAAGGTCTTTCTGTGAGAATGTGTATGATGAACATCCCATTAGAGTTGAGCAAAACTCAGCACACATCTTAATTCCGTATGGTCTTCTCATAAACGACTGCGTTTCTTGATGACTATGCACTATGAAATAGCCGAGAACAAGGTATGCCCAGATCCCACAAGTCATGATTTTCCCCAGAGGAATCTACAACGAAATGTACATCTGACAAAGGGTATTTATTGTAGCGTCGCAAAAGGACATGCCTTGAACTTCAAATTGACATTAAACCAAACACACACACTTAAAAAAGTGAACATCTTGTCCTTTGATGATTGATTGTCTTGCTTTGAAATGCATTTAACTCAAAGGACGTTACCACCGAACCATTTTGTCGCTCTTTAGGACAAGCATGGTTTTTATGTGGATCCTGCTCGTACTAGAAATGCCTACAAGTCTTAAAAAGCCAATCAGTGAGGAAGTGAAAATATGCCATAGATCTGACTTAAAGCTGAGTTTGCCTACATATTTAAGTACAGTACAGCCAGGAATTATTGAGAATTTAAAGATTGTACTTTTTTATATA